ATACAGAAAGTTATTTGGCTGAAGAATTAATGGCAAAGCAAGCTACATTATCCATATTTTCCAATAAGGATAGATTTATAATTTCTTTTCAGGCACATCGTGTTACTATATTAAGAATAAAAAATCCACAAAAACGACGTTTTTTGGCAAAATGAAAGGTAAAATCATTATTTTAGGTTACAGTCACTAGTCGGCTGTAAGCTATAATAAAGATTTTACCTTTTATTGTGCTAAAAATATTGTTTGAGGCTGTTTGTGTGAGGCTGTACTTACGTATGTGTATATCAGTATATATATATATATAGAGAGAGAGAGAGTTGATCTCTGTTTAAGAATTTGACGCATTTTGTCTTTATTGTGAACAAGCTGAGGTACTCGTCTGGGTTATGAACTAGAAAAAATGTGGGGGTGGATGCTATGATAAATAACACAAAAATCCTAACTTTCACACAACTTATTTATAACGTAACATATTATTACAGTATTCATTATTACCTCGCCAAAAGTTTTGTACAAGCTTTAAGAACTTAATGTGTATGTACTTAAACTATAAACTGTGTGATGGTCAGGGTGACTTTGAAGGAAAAGGTAGCGGCAAAAGTAGTGGAGAGAGGTGTGCTTTCTGTTACCCGCTTTCAACACTCTTAATGTCCTTCTACAATGTTTCACATGATTAATTAATTGACGGTGATTGGCCGCAGAAGTATCTTACGGGCCGAAGTTGAAACGTTATCACGGGTCAAAGTAGGAAGTGGATATAATTCAAGAAACGGCTCTTCTTACTAGCCTTATTGTGGCTGTTGGAGTAGAACCTTCAGCTGAGTTTATGTATTGTTGCAATAGTGGCGGCCATTTCTTTTCATTTCACTTCTCCATAGAGATTGCTAGTGCACTATCTGAGATATATATAAGACGTTTGTATGGCCTCCCCCACACTGTTTGTATGTTGTGTTATAGAAAATTTAATATCTTTTTTATGTAAGGACGTGGCGCCATCTATGAATATAGTTAACGTTAACTTACGTCGAAGATAATAAATGCTCAGTAATAACAATAATAGGGATGGAGGGTGTGCGAATCCACCACTAACATGCCCCTTGTTCCAAACTATCATCCCACAAAGTTGGGTTGAGATTGGCCCAGCGACCTAGGAGTAGTTGTATAACAAACAAACAGACACACACAGAGATTTATGTGTTATATATATACATTGTATGATTATGAATTCAAATGGGAAATATTTGTTGTCTTACATGTGAAAATATACATGCACACACACACACACACACATATATATATATAATCATTGTTTTTTGCAAGTTTACTTTAAAGCTCTAACTCAACCACATGAATCAAACTGACATTATTTAATATCGACATCTTTACAAGTTGAAAAAATATGTTTGCTGCAGCATTTGGTTTTTCAATAACGCAGTAAATTATTCAGTCTTTAAATGAAATAGAAAAAGGAACAAAATAAACTGAAGGAATTAGAACTAAAAATAATTTTGTATCTTACTCTTGTCTTGCATTTTCACTCTCTGTGGGACCTGATGAATGTCGATTGAATAAGAAGTATAAAAAATAATTACTCTTATTCATTTTAACAGTTTTTTGAGTTATGTTAATAATACAATAAAGCTGTAGTTGCTTTATTATTGTAATATTAAATACAACTGTATATATATATAATGAATAGTGTTTTTTCAACAATTGAATAATTAAAATACAACTCTTAATGTTTTGTAATTTTCGCGATCTGTTGCAGTTTATTTATCTGAAATTAAAGTACTGCTATTTCCGTAATTGTTGCCTTTTAATCGATATTTAATGCACTCCTTCTATCAGAAAATCAGTGTCATACAAATTAAAAGGGACGTTTCAAAAACTATTGGCACCATTTCTGAGCTACATGATCAACATTGCTACTTTAAAAGATACGTTGCTCGTTAATTTCGACGATGCACACTTCATGAGCTATTGTGTTAGGTGTTATATTGTTTTGTTATTTTCCCATTATTCACATTTACTAGTGCGACTATAAGTTTAATGAAAAATTAACTGAACGAAGAAGGATAAACAAAATGTATTTTATATTACATGCGAACACGCCACAAATTGTATTAGTAAAATTGCTAGTTAGTGCTATAATTAGTCTTTACAGTATAAAAAAGTTAATCTTATATCTTTCATCAGAACAGAAACACCGATGTGACAAACATTAAAGCTTGTTTGTTAATATTATAACTCACTATCAACTTTAATTCTCTACACTTTCCACTAGATGGTGCTTGAGTCTAAAAGGTTTATAGAGGCAAATACTTGGTGCGTTTCCTTCCAAAAGTTGTAAACAATTTGTTTAGAAAAAAGAAAAAGAAAAAACATAAACAAACATTAACAACTGCACTGCTTAGAGCATGTCTTATCTAGGTTGCAAAAGTATCCAGGACTTTATATTATCTAATGATATTTTTTGATGAGGAATTTGAATCAGCATCATTTTTAACGCCAAATAGAGTACTAACTTTATCAAAATGAAGAGAGGAAACCAACATAAAGAAAATATAAATCCAAGCTTCTCTGAGGAAATATAAGAGCAAATGTGTCAATAAAGAGTTTTACAATATAGGGATAAAATATTAAAGTATTTCTAGCTTCTATGGGGCTTCATGTGAATAGTACCGAATGTGCTATATTTGTTCTTGTCACATATTCTAATAATAGAAGTTAATGAATTACACAACGTGTGTGTGTGTGTGTAGTTTAAAATACCTTGTCTCGAAAAATAAGATAAAGCACCCAAACCATTTATTATAGAAAAGGAATTGAACATTTGAGACCTTGGATCGTTGTAAATAATATATTGTTTACGAGAAAGATAACACATGAAGTAAAATGAGGCAACTCTACCAATTATAGCATGTCTTATCCAGGTTTAATGAAAAAAAACTACATATACCAACAACATTTTGAAATACTACTCCATTCAAGATTGAGGAAGTTATTAACTAGTATGGGTTATCTGTGTGTGCATGAGTATATGTTGTGTGAAACATGTTGTTTAAAATATATATCAAAGGTTTTAACAGAAAACAAGTTGAACATTTCAATACAGCATCTCTAAAACTAGATGTAGCTATAGCAACAATGTTTTGAAATACTGGCTCATTTGACATTAAAAATATCTTATAATTAGCTATAGGCACGGTTACTTAAGTGTTGATTTAAATGATTAAGGCAAAATAATACGTATTAATCGGTTAATAATACTTAAAGTACAATACAAAAAATACCTAATCGTGAGATAAGCCTAACGTGCTAGATAACAGGAAGAATCGTAAGTAGAGCTAATTGTTTTCAATCACAGAAGTTTCGAGGTACTGGTATTCAACTTGGCATCTCTCAAGCCTCAATTACAAACGTGAACATTACTAAGAATAAAAAAAGATATCACGCAACATAAACATATAATTAGTTTGTTTTATATCCCTTGAATATTGTTTTTATATATTAGAACAATATTGGATTATTTATTATATAAGTAAACGATTCAATAAAACATTACTTCTTCAATACACCAAGACAACAGATCACAACTCTACGTGAATATACTTTCTTTAAAAAGGTGTTCTGCATTAAAAGTAATCAATACTATTTACAGGAAAAGTAGAGACATTTGATTATGCGAATTTAAAGTTTGTTGCGCAAATTGGAGAGTTCTATTCATAGGGACATTTCGTTTTAAGTTTAATTTTGTTTTACTAGTGATATTTAATGAAACTCACGGAGAATAAAATAAACTTTATGAAGATAAACATTTTTGGTGTGATTACTGTACTATGTCCTGTGTCATAGCAGATGCATTTTAATACAACTCATTTTCCTGGGTCGTGATATCTGCAAGAAAGCAGACACACGGATAATTTGTACCGTCAATCCTGCTTACACGACGTGGTTTCTAAAGTAATGAAGTAAGGGCTACCGAAATACTGTAGCGATAAGGGAGCCTCAACAATGTTTCAAGACAGATTTTTTATTTAAAATAAGAGTTAATTCTTGGCTCATCTTTCCACGTGTCTGTTGAGCTTCACATGCTATGAACCCATTAAATAACGTGAATTTCTCGGTATGATTGGATGTAAAAGTCAATGTGATGCTTTTAATAGAAAGGGATTCGTTTAAATTGCAGCCTCTTAATTTATAAACCATACTTTTTCCACATAAAATTTAAAAAGTGGGTAAGAAAAAATTAGAAATGTAGTACTCACTTGAAAAATGAATAGACGTTTAGCGTTCTCACAGTGTAGTAATATTCTGATTCACTTATTAATTTACCTAAAATTAGGAATGCTGTCAGAAATTGTACGAGCATATTGAAGGAAATATCCAATTTAAGAAACTGGAAAGCAGTCAAATGACTCTGAAAGAGTGCTATTAATTTTTTTTTGAAACGTGAATAAAATAGCAAAATCCAAAATCCTTTCTTTCTTATATATTTACGAACGTTTGGGTTGTCTGTTGAAATGTTGATATATATATATATTGTACAACATGCAGCTTTATGAATTATACGTAATTAAAATAATCTGAGCGAGATTAATAAAGTTACTCTGAGAAAGCTTAATACAGTGATCTCTGTTACTCTGGAAGAATCACTGGTAACTTTCTCTGGAGAAAACTAAGAAATTATCATATCAAATAGAAAGAAAACTTTCTTCTTTATTTAGTTATTTATAAAAGAGAATACTGCTCGTAGCTGTATCAGTGTTTGAATTGTGACGATCTCACGTACTTCAAGAGTACACAGTGTTCCTTATAAAGTAAACAAATGCCGCTGCACGGACAAATCCTACTGGAACTTTCTATCAGAAGAATTTTATGGAAGAACTCAAGTTTTATTGAGTTTATTCCTCTGATTAGAGAGTGTCACTTCAAGAAATGAAAGGTTGGAATAGATCCTCTGTTGCTGTACGGATTAACTCTTGAATAAGGTGAGGTGGATACTAAAACTAATTCTCTCTCTTGGTTAAACCCGAATTAGTGAAGGACCCGCCCAACACGCTCTCCATTATGAAGTTTGCTCATGCGCCTTTCCCGACCGTTCTTCGTCGGAATTACAGAAATCTTGGGTTCCCGAGGCGGTCCCTTGGTCTATATGCGTGTGTCTGCTGTTCCGCACTAGAGTCCCTTGTGCTGCTAAGTACGGTGGTGTGTGTGTGTGACTGGTAGAAAATCTCGTGCTCCAACTAACAGTAGGAAGGGAGTGCGTAGGAAATATAACCAGCTATTGACAACAGCTTCATTGACAACTCAAAGCAAGTACGTTTTGTTTTGGTAAAAATAGTTCCAGGGTTAATTGTCCTATTAAAATTTCATTAGGCAATTGATAAACTTCTTCTTTTTTAAAACCAATTATAATAATTCATCTCTGCTAGTGGAGACTATGAGTTCACTGGACTGACCGTATAGAAGCCAGGTAACCAACTCAGTGCAGAGAAATTTTAACATAGTGTTGACTAGTGCAGCCAATTGAAAGTTGTGTAAAAAACAGAGAAAGTGCTGTGAAGGAAAGGAACATACAAACCTATTAATTTAATGTCAGTACCAAGGCTTCTGTAGCCGAATATATATTTTTTGGACCAAGTACGTTTTTTACCGCTACGTTGGCCTCAGTCGAAGTGGGCTCAGAGACTCTTCATCCGGCCCCTAGGTTGAAAGTCGACCAGACATTTGGCCGTATACGCCGTCTTCAGCGGAGTATTTGGACGGCAGCCTATGCCGACGTAGTGCCGTGTTGTCCTCTGTACATCATGGCCCGTCGGCTGCTGCTTCCCCTGGCCGTGCTACACGTGGTCCTGTTGCTGGTTGTTTTCCAGTGTCTCGCGCCTGGCCGAGCCAAACGACTGTCACAGTGTCCAGTGGAGTGTGAGTGCCGTAGCAGAACAATAGACTGCAGTAACCGCGGGTTACAGTTTGTGCCGAGGTACTTGCCACCCGAAGTCAAACGAATGTAAGTACAAAACAAATATATGTAATCATCTAAAACACGGTGTAAATGTTGCTGATAAAACTCAAAGCTTCAGGGCTACCTACATACCCCAAACAACAGAATATAAAATGCAAAATACTTTTTCCTCTTTCGTTTATTTTTTTTATTCTCTTTAATTTCCATCAACCAAAATATCATTAAAATCACTGTTATCTCTCGGCTTACGATTTATCATGAAAAACAAACATGGGATCGGGATCGTAACGATCCTCTTCAATCTTATAAATTTTTTGAACTGTTGTTAATGCTAATATTACCGGTAGCCACATTTACTTTGTCAATTTAATATTGATTGAAACAAATTATCACATGTAGTGCCCTCGAGCGGAACAAGCAGTAAATGAAAAATAAAGGTGCAAGCGTACTAACTACACTAAACACTTTATGATTTGCTAACAGTTCACCAAGAAAATAGTTCTACCTGTGAAAAGCCAGAGAGAGGTAGTATTGAAGTTAATTGTCATTCGCATCAGAATAACGGTTTAAAAGGTTGAATATCGTTTATTGTTACAATTATTTGATGTCAAGTTGAACATTTGACTGATCATTGCGCAAAGGTTATGACTTTCTTTATGTAAAAATAAAGTCATAGAAGTAAATTGTGGAACAAATATATTTTTAAAGAATGTATTATAGGATATATTGACCCTCATTACTGTTAAGAAACGCGGCTATAAATCTCCATTTTCAACAGTTGTTTGTTCACGAGTCATAACACATTGTTTCATCTCCAACAGGTATCGGTGTTTTCGAGCTTTGTACAACTGTATGACGAAACACGTCCGTTCATTCGTTCTAGGTTAATAAACAAATAGAAAACATTCCCATAAGCTTGTTGTCGCAGGGTAATTGAATATTGACTTGTCCCTAATGTACCTGGTGTAGCTGTAATTTTCCGGAAGATAATTCATGGCATTTAGTACCTGGATAATAAAGGGTTTAACAAAGTATACGTACAGACGGACGCCAGACTGGTCTTTCAGAAATAACGTTCTTAGGCTACTCAGTGTTTTAATCAGTAATCACAAAAACCATGCACAGTATTCGGTACACATACATATATATATACATATAATAAAAGGCATTTCACGTATAGAGTGTATTTTTTGTTCTAATGTTGTGTTTTTTTCGTTTTTTTTTCACCTAACACAATTTTGTGGTATTTTTGAACAAACACATTTCTACGGCATATTTTTGCTTTATGTGGATTTAGTGATTTACCACTAATTTTTTTTCCTCTAACCCGCATCAATTTGACATTAATTATACTTTAAGTTAGTTAGTTTAGGCCCATTCAAAACTTTGTCATGACCTAGTTAAATGTTCAAGGTATTAGTGAATTTGCAAATTATTGTCATGGCAAAAAATAAATTATTCAAAAAATTCTTTGTATAAAGTTTTCAGGTTATCATTTATTCTTCAGGGACAGACACGTAGAATAATAACGCCAAAACTCCGCTGTCATAACCGCCATAAAAAACCGGATGTTCTAAATAAGATTAATTTTGTGTTTACATTTAATTGAAATTAGAAACATAATTGGAGATTTATTCTCAAAATTCTCAAACTAAGCTAATAATGTAAATAACACCTAGTTTCTTCCTTCCCATTTTCAATAGAAAATTATTAAGCAGTGTCAAAATTAATCAAAATAAAATTTTAAAACTATCATAAAGGCTTGAGACATTTTAAAGAGTGTCGCTTTCTTCATTCCGGTGAAGAAAGGGACCACTTTCTAAAATGCTCGAATCTTTAGAGTTTCTTTCGTTGTTGCTAACGGAAATTTAATATATAAAGAAAGTTTACTTTTAAACTTTGTTTACATCAAAGTGTTGAAAAAAGGGTAAGAAATAAAATCGTAAATTACAGTTGTCAAGTGTTACTTGATCGAAATTGTTGAGTTAAATAAATAAAAGCTGTGTGTACAGAAATAGCAAAGAGTGTAATATGTCGTGCTTTTGTTTTTCTTTGAATGCTTGTTTAACTATTTCAGTAATGAGACTTTCCTCGCCCAGTTTTAATACCTTAATGCTCATCATAACACAGACTGATGTTAGTAGACTGCTTGGTTAAAGATAGGTTCAAAGAACTGAAGAGCGTTCACGGTGTTGATGTATATATATGTGTTAGATTTCTGGTATGTGCATCGATGGTTCTTCCCCTAAAGGAACGTAAACCACTGCTAAAAATATCTCTAACATTATGTCGTCAGAAAAACACGTAGGTTCGAGAAGTTTTGATATAAAACGATAAAAACTCTATAACCTAGCGCTTTTGAAAGGTTGACCTTTATCCCTGAAGAAGAAAGGTCCCGAAAGCGCTCGGGTTATAGGGTTTTTATCGTTTTATATTCTCACTTTATGTCTTTAGACAGTATAGAATAAGTCAGTAAAATATAGCGAACGTTATGTTTTAATTTAACTATTTTCATGCAATGAATAAGATCTTTTCTTTATTACAATGAAATATTCTAGTGCACTGTTGTTGCTCAGTTTATAGTTTTTATCTTATCATGCACATTGAGTTTCCATACACACGGTAGAACGTGAGAAGAATGTATTGTTTTTACTTTAAATCACCTGTAATGTTTAGTAAACCTATGATATTTGATAGTAATATTATATTTTACTAGAACTTTTATATATATATAAAAATAATGTCAATGTTTCGACACTGTGTTTAAACTGGACAACCAGATTGGCTAGTGTCGTTAAACTATTGTCTGAACTTCTTAATTATACGTACAAAATGTAAATAACATAGAAATGGAAAGTAAAGTTCACTAAAACTGGTTCTCACTGTTAGCCAGTACCGTACTATGAATCTGAGGATCCATGGCTTGCGTCCCGTTGCTTCAAAGTCGCGCGCCGTACTTTGGGCCATAAGTGCATTATGAGAGTGAAGGTCAAACTACATTAGTCGATAGAGCAGTCATACAATGTTGGCGATTGGTACTCTTGACTTGTTGCCTTACCCCTAGTCTATGTTTGTCAGTGTATAATGGCGACCTTATATCTATATTAGACACAATACACTATGCGTTTGGCAATACTCGTATTGAAAGTGACATGTGCCAGGATATCATTTCCTAATTAAATCTTTGGAGGTATTTTCCCCATTGTTAATTATCGTTAATCAGATTCTAGCTTATAATAGACAGGTTTCATATTATCACCACTGAGTCACTCATGGTGGACTTTTCAATGACGGAAAACAAACAAACAAAAATAGCAACATAAAAGTTTTTCTTAAACTAGAATTTGTTTCAGCATACATCTAGCCTGAAATATTAAGTGAGAGAATGACGTTTCGATATTGTGATACATTCTTTATGTATCTTCCTCAAAGCTCCAAGTTTTTATCCAAGATCTGTAGAGCATTTCTCTGGAACTGTAATAGCATTCATTATGCTACTATACAGTCAGCAGATCTTATATCACTCATTGTTGGATGTATACAAGTTTCATCTCAAAGTCACAATGATAACTGTATTTTCCCTTTATGAGTAAAATTCTCTTGTGTCTTGTGTATTAGTATATAGTTATATCATAAAACATAGGTTGTGGTCATTTGTATGTACTTCTTGAGTGCAAGACTAAACAGTTTCATATTCCTGGTTTTACTTTCATGTTCGTGAAAAAAATCATAACAGAACTTATCAGATTATATGTAGGTGGCATGTGGAGTATGCATTGGGTCTTTTATTATACCACATAGACTAGAAACTACGATCTTATACAAAAAAAAATCACACGGTAGATTCAAACTTTTTTTTTTCCTGTTGAACACCCGTCAAACAAAAACAAACGTAGGGTTAGCTGAATATTCTTCACGATGTGATCTTATGTAATATTTCAAATTTGTTCATCACCTCAGTGGTTGATGGATGGGTGGTTTACGCAGTAAAAACATTAACGATACGATTCTACAATCAGCAAAACCTTTTAATGTATTTGTTGATGTTATATAGAGATGTAAACATCCTCATCCAGCAATTAGTAACAATCAACATATTAAAACAAAGGTAACAGTTCAAACAAATAAGTAAATAAATAAATAAACTTCAAACAGATAAGTAAATAAATAAATAAGCTTCAAACATATAAGTAAATAAATAAATAAACTTCAAACAGATAAGTAAATAAATAAACTTCAAACAGATAAGTAAATAAATAAACTTCAAACAGATAAGTAAATAAATAAACTTCAAACAGATAAGTAAATAAATAAACTTCAGAAATTTACAAAATAGTATTTTCCTACATGGACGAATGAAACAAGAATGTTTCTACACCGTAATAAATAGTGGGATTAGAGTGTTTGCATGTCTACACCTGTTTATTTTTAATAAGAAAGAGATGGTTAAGATAGCTGTGAAACATGTGGTCTATGTTTGAAGTCTTTTTTTTTTTTCGCGTAAACATAGACTAATAAATTTTCTTAGATCACTTTGCTGTGTTCTGACATTGCTACGTGTGGACTTGATCGTGCTCTTTGTTTTGTCTCTATATTTTCGCTATATATTACATATGTCACATATAAATATGGTATTTTTTTTCGGCAAAAGAATAACAACCTGATGTTTTGTTCATATTATTCTCATAGAAGAGATATCATTTTTTCATATAAATACTTTTATTTGCAGATTTAAAATTTCTTCCACCCATCCATTGTAGTCGGCCTCTTGTGGGGAAGGTGATATCTCAGGTTATTCAAAAAAATATATAAAAAAATAGAACGTGTTAGGGACTATACTCCTCGTACAACTTGGCAGATCCTGTAACTTATGTAGCCGAATTCAAGACAGATTCGTAGGTCGCGTGAAACGTACGTTACACATTTTCGCTAGCCAGTGGTAATATTTTTTCCTTACTGTCGTGGCTAACCAGTGAGAAGACGAAACAAAAGCACGTCAAAGCATCAATAAATAACTTTGATGTTTATTGCGTTGTTTTTGTGTT